AGCGAATTACAGAGGATGGAAATTATCCAAAACATTGATCTTGAATAGATTGATAGCCATTTGGTTTGGCATGCTGATACCGGCACAGGTGTATGTAGGATGATTCACAGCACAAATTGTTTCTTGGCTCCAGAGGAGTTTTGTAAACAAGATAATGCAGTGTCTTGATTTGAAAATTGCCCCAGCCAAAGGTCCACAGGCTCACACGCCAAATTTTGTGAATAAGCTATAAGTCCCTCTCTCGACTACTCGTTTGTCTGAGAGGGACTTAGTTAGGTTAGGACGCCAGCGCAGGACAGCGCACTTTTTACAAAAAGTGCGCTGTGCTGCCAATTGGGCTACCAAACACTGTGGTGTGTTGCGTAACTAGCTCAGTGTGTTGAAATGGAAGAACCCCATGCGCTGTCAGAATCACAGTGAAGCGCAGCGCAGTCGTTGATCAATTGCGGTGAAAATAAAGATTTGATTGAAATGACAAAACAATGAGAAAAAAATCTTGTATAAGGGCATGAAATGCACATTCTATGGATGATTGACCACAGGAAATCAAACAATAATTAAAAAAAGATGATAAACCAAAGAAAAAGTGAAAACACACAAAAAACAAACAATAAAGAAGAATGTAGAAAGTCTAAGTAGTTGCGACTTTTTTCTTCTTAGTCAAACTTTTGACAATCTGTTCTACAGCTGCAACTGCTGTCCCCAATTCTCCGTTTGGAACAAACTTCTGTTTGAGCCATTGACATATCCCAACCGCTATTTCAATTGTTCTGGATGTGAGACCTCCACGACAATTAGAACAGATATTTGCTGCAGTTGAAAAGGTCCTTTCAACTGTGCAAGATGATCCCACACAGGCAAGGAAGTCACGAGCCAATTTTGCTATTTTTGGGAATCGTTTTTGATTGACCTGAAAAAGAAGTCAGTCAAGTAATTAACACTACTTGAAGGAAAGAAGAAATAAATATAAGATAGAAACACTTACACACCACCATTGTAAAATGTCAGTGTCACGCTCGCAAGGATGCATGCCCAAAAGGTACTGCTCCACTTCTTCATCACTGGTCAGAGTATTTGCAGAAGTCGCGCTAAACACATTGGTCTCATCTAGTGGATCAATAGTTGCTTCGGATTTGGCCTGAGAAGAAGTTGGCTTTGATGCGAATTGAGGTTTGCTTCTCTCATACTCGGAAAACTGTAAGCGGAAGAGTTCCCCGGCACAAACTGCATACACCACGAACCCCCCTTTTGTTGAGAAACCGTTTTGGGGGGGGTTTCAAAAAAAACCGGCGAAAACCATTAGTATTTTCGGTTTGGCCCTGGGGTCCAAATGGTTTTTGCGAAGAGTTGAAAAATACTGTTAGTCAACCACTCACTGAGAAACCGCATTGGCTCAAATCTTCGCAAAACCTCGATGATCACACCGTATCT